GGACTGTCCACCAAAGTGGTAGAGAGACTCACGTTTGTGAAAATTGATCAGGGCGTGGATTGTCTTGGATTTCAAACCACAGTTCCTAGACACAACTGACTAAATCCGCTGCATGAAATCATGCCAAACAACTGGGGTGATGCCACTTTCAGGTCTCGCACACACTGCTGGTGTGTTCCAATTTTTGTCATTGGGTGCTGGCAGATTACGGGCCTCCCATTGCTGATGCCTGGCCCGTAATCTGCACATGGGACCTGTACCGCATCTTCCATGCTGCGCCAGGTCCAGAGTGTGTCATGGGTCCTGAACGGGACTCCCATTGCATGCTGCCAGGACGGCAGAAGGGTCGCAGCAGTGTCAGTGGAGGCAAACGGCCACCGGAGTAGAGCACCAGCTCCACTTGCAGCCTACCACCACGGCCAGTAGTGATGCCGGTGTGCACGGAGGAAAGTAGCAGTCAGCCAGTGAGAGTAGCGGGGGCAAAGTTTCCTACTCGGGGGTGTGGCAATTTTTCGTCAAGCCGCCCAGAGGAAGTAAACGTAGCCGTATGTTGACTATGTGGCCAGAAAGTCAAGCGTGGCCAGGGGGCCCATGCTGGGACTACAGCGTTGTGTCAGCATATGCAGCGTCGCCATTCGGTGGCCTGGGAAAACCGTGATAAAGATACGGTGGTTCTGCCTGCCCCAGCCCAGGGTTCCATTTTGTCATAGGGTGCTGGCAGATTACGGGCATCCCATTGCTGCTGCCAGGCCTTAATCTGCCATGGGCCCCTGTACCGCCTCCTCATGCTGCTGCCAGGTCCACAGTCTCTCATGCCATGTGCCACTTTCAGGTCTCCTCACACTGCTGGTGTGTTGAATTTTTTGACATTAGGGTGCTGGCAGATTACGGGCCTCCCATAGCTGCTGCCAGGCCCTTAATCTGCCATGGGCCCCTATATACCGCCTCCTCATGCTGCTGCCAGGTCCAGAGTCTCTCATGGGTCCCTGTACGGCCTCCCATTGCTGCTGTCTCCATCGCCACACTCTGCCATGTGCCACTTTCAGGTCTCCTCACACTGCTGGTGTGTTGAATTTTTTGACATAGGGTGCTGGCAGATTACGGGCCTCCCATAGCTGCTGCCAGGCCCCTAATCTGCCATGGGCCCCTATACCGCCTCCTCATGCTGCTGCCAGGTCCACAGTCTCTCATGGGTCCCTGTACGGCCTCCCATTGCTGCTGTCTCCATCGCCACACTCTGCCATGTGCCACTTTCAGGTCTCCTCACACACTGCTGGTGTGTTCAATTTTTTTGTCATAGGGTGCTGGCAGATTACGGGCCTCCTATAGCTGCTGCCAGGCCCCTAATCTGCCATGGGCCCTTATACCGCCTCCTCATGCTGCTGCCAGGTTCACAGTCTCTCATGGGTCCCTGTACGGCCTCCCATTGCTGCTGTCTCCATCGCCACAACTCTGCCATGTGCCACTTTCAGGTCTCCTCACACACTGCTGGTGTGTTCCATTTTTTGTCATAGGGTGCTGGCAGATTACGGGCCTCCCATTGCTGCTGCCAGGCCTGTAATCTGCCATGGGCCCCCGTACCGCCTGGTCACGCTGCTGCTGGGTTCCACAGTGTGACATGGGTCCCTGTACCGCCTCCCATTGCTCCCACTCTGCCATGTGCCACTTTCAGGTCTCCTCACACTCCTGCTGGTTACCATTTTGTCATAGGTTACTGTATGGCCTCCATTGCTGCTGCCTCCACCGCCACACTGTGGCTCCAAACACTGGTTTTGGCCCGTGACTGGCCAAATGAGTGAAGTGTGCGGTGATTCTAAGATCGACGGCACTCATCTGCATGTCATACTGACTGACAGTATTATTTCTCTTCCCCAGCAGACTCCAAGGGCATTTAAATTAAAGGTACAGTGTTCTGCACTAATATTAAGTCTCTCTGAAGCCTAGAAACACCCTTTTTTAAGTTAAATTCACAGCGAATATATTCGACTCTCAAATCGAATATTGTCCACAAATTCGCCGAATCAGTCGAATCGAATTTTTGAATACTTCGCTCATCTCTAGTTTAATACATAAGATCATGGTTACATTTTCTGTTACATACAGAATATGAGAAGATTCTATATTATAGGACGAGATGCTGTACATATTTGGAGTTGGACTCCAGGAACAATTTTTGTTTTTTAATGTAATAGCAAGAATACTATTTTTATAAAACTGTGGCATTCTTGAAATGTGCGCTTACGACTGGGTTTTGTGATGAAATATTGGATCTCCTCTACAAGTCTCAAGACTATACAGTGTGTATTATAATAGTTCACACTAATAAATAAATGAATAATTGCCCTAGCCACTATATAAATATCCCAAAGGGTATGCATATAAAAAGATGTAATACAACACTAAAATACTACAAATAAAAGCTTAGTGTATATACAGTATATATGTTCGATTAAACAAATAGCTAGTAAAAGATCCCTAAATATAAACTGCATAAACTCCAAATTTAATGTCCCTGTAAACCACTTGCTGGCCATATAACATACATACTGTATATATGTCAGCAGAGTGACTCTTCTGTGCTGGATGATGTACTAGGTTTATGATCAGCGCTCCCACCATTCCAACGGTGTTATGATTCAGTACAGCACTGATCAGTTCTCAGTGACTCGGTAGTACTGATCAGAAGGTCTAGGCCAAAAATCATTGGCCTGGACCTTCTGATCAGTTCTATGGAATCACAAATCATCCTGTGCCTGTGTTCTGTAAACACATATGATGTGATCTTCTCACCTGGAGTCCTTTTTGGGTTGCAGAAAGAGAAGAGATCACATCTACAGTAAAAGTAAAAGCAGCAACCTTACACGTAAACACCTAGATAGGCACACTTAACAACCTGATTGCCCCCAGTTAACCCTTTCACTGCCCTGTCACCAGTGTCCTTAGTACAGTGTACAGATTGTTTCACTGATTGCTGTATGTGCCACTGGCGACGTCAGATAGCATTATCATCCCTCCCAGATAGCGTGAGATTGTCCACCACACTATCAACATCACATTTAACCCTTTGATTGCCAGCAACACTATCACAGACACAAGCCTCTATTACTAGTATAGTGTCTGAACAGATCATTATCTTTGAACAGATCATAAATACTGTTTATTTAATAAACAGTATTTATGATCTGTTCAAATAAAGATTCTCCAATAGTACAGTGTCCCCAAAAATGCAGCGTTAGCAGGATTAGCCCTGACAACTGCCAGCACTTGCGTTTAGCCCCTCCCCCAACAAGTGCAGTGTCAGTAGATCACTGTCACTTCTGATACATTTAACACAAAACTGCAGAGTTGGCAAGATCAGGCCTGATCTCTGCTAGCATTAGCAATTAGATTATATTTGTAGCAGTTCAAGCAGTCCCTGACAACTAGGAGCTCTTTTTTCCTTTGAGTCGCACTAGGTACCTGTAAATTTAGTGGGCAAAATGTCCAAAGAAAGGTACACTAGTGAAGAGATCTACAGGATTCTGAGTATGTTAGATGAGAGCAAAGGGGAGTCCTCACTGTCAGAATACTAACCTGTAGAGAGCAGTGACTCCCCAACAGGTAGATCAGACGATGGAGAAGAGGTTCCTGCTAAGGTCATGCATACCCAACCCCATGCCCAGGTTGCTGAGGTACTAGAAATGCATGATGATTTCTCATCTCACAGTGCCAGTACTAGTGCTGCACTACCTTTCGGGGAGCTGGCAAGCACCAGTGCCCCAGTACATCCTGGCCTCTTACATACTAGCACTGGAGTATCATTTGGTAACATGGAAAGTCCCATAAGTGCAGTACAAGCTGGTGAGATGGCTAGCACTAGTAGCATCCCACAGCCACCAAGAATTAGAACACAGAACCGTAGAGCCTATAGTGTCCTTTCAGATGTGCTTGCAAGTCCTGATTGACAGTCCACAGATTCTATAGTACCGATACTTCTACAATTCACTACCCAACACAGAATTCAGGTGGAAACAGCACATTCAACTACTCTCCTTGATTTTTTTAGTTGTTTTTCATGGAAGATATGTATAATTTGATTGTGGACCAAAGCAATGTACACCCTGTTCCAAATTATTATGCAAATTATATTTTTCTCATTTATCTAAATAATTGATGTAAATAACAGTCAGCAAAATGCTCATGTTATCAACTATTAAGAGTACAATTCAAATTTTATTGAACAAACCTCCTAATGATAACAGGATTTTTTTTAAACATAAAAAACTTACAATGCACTGTTCCAAATTATTATGCACAGTAAGTTTGAAAAACACTCTATAGGTTGTAAAGAACTGAAAATTGCCATTTGTTGTGTTTGCAGCATATTTACTGAAATCAAAGCTATTTCAATCAAACTTTTAATAACATTTTAACTTTTTAAACATTTGAACAGGTCACATTACATTTTAACATAGAACCCCTTATTTGATAGCAGCTTCACAAGTCTTGCATCCATTGAACTTGTGAGTTTTTGGACAGTTTCTGCTTGAATTTGTTTGCAAGATGTCAGAATAGCCTCCCAGAGCTGCTGTTTGGATGTAAACTGCCTCCCACCCTCATAGATCCTTTGCTTGAGGATGCTCCAAAGGTTCTCAATAGGATTGAGGTCAGGGGAGGATGGAGACCACACCATGACTTTCTCTCCTTTTATCCCCATAGCAGCCATTGATGCAGAGGTATTCTTTGCAGCATGAGATGGTGCATTGTCATGCATGAAGATGATTTTATTACAGAAAGCATAGTTCTTCAGTGGTCAGTCATAAACTCCACATATTTTGCAGAGGTCATCTTAACACCTTTGGTGACCCTAAAGGGCCCGACCAGCTCTGTTCCCATGATTCCGGACCAAAACATGACTCCACCACCACCTTGCTAATGTCGCAGCCTTATTGGAACAGGGTGGCCATCCACCAACCATCCATTACTCCATCCATCTGGACCATCCAGGGTTGCACGGCACTCATCAGTGAACAGGACTGTTTGAAAATTAGTCTTCATGTATTTTTTCTGCCCAATGCAGCCGTTTCTGCTTGTGAGCATTGGTTAGTGGTGGCCGAATAGAAGGTTTATGCACAGTTGCAAGACTCTGGAGGACTCTACACCTTGATGGCCGTGGGACTCCAGAGGCACCAGCAGCTTCAAATATCTGTTTGCTGCTATGTAATGGTGTTTTAGCAGCTGCTCTCTTGATCCGATGCATGGATCTGGCAGAAATCTTCCTCAATGTGCCTTTATCTGCATGAACCCATCTGTGCTCTGAATCAGCCACAAATCTCTTAATAGTGCAATGATCACGCTTAAGTTTTCGTGAAATATCTAATGTTTTCATACCTCGTCCAAGGCATTGAACTATTTCACTCTTTTCGGCAGCAGAGAGATCCTTTTCTTCCCCATATTGCTTGAAAATGGTGCTCTGCTTAATAATGTGGAACACCCTCCTTTAGTAGTTTTTCCTTAAATTTGGCTCACCTGCCAATCTAATTATCATAGGTGTCCGAGATTGTTTTCAGTGATCAAAAGAGCCCTGAGACACAATGCCATCCATGAGTTAAACTGAAAAAACTAAATATTTAATCTTTGTGACACTTAAATATAATTTGCATAATAATTTGGAACATGGTGTATATGCTGATCAGTATATTGCCACCAACCCAAATTTGTACCTTGCCAGACAATTCAAATGGAGATGGTTTCTGATTTTTACATTTTTGGGGGCCTAACCCTTAACATGGGCATTACAAAAAAGAATGAATTGGGGTCATATTGGTCCACAGACCAGATTCATCATATGCCTATGTTCTCTGCTGTCATGGCCAGGAGTATATATGAGAATATAATGTGACTTATGCATTTCAATTATATAAATTCTGTTGTCCTTGTGGTGACCCTGAATATGATTGGCTTCACAAAGTCTAAATCCCTCATCAATCACCTTTCCCAGAAATTCACAGATGTGTATAGGTCCCAACAAAATATTTGCGTAGACGAGTCCCTCATTAATTTTTCTGGCAGCCTTGCATTCGAGCAGTATCTCCCCAGTAAGTGTTCTAGATCTGGGGTCAAAATGTATAAGCTCTGTGAGAAGGCAACAAGCCATACATGTTCTTTTAGGATTTACAAGGGAAATTATAGTCATGTGGAGCCCCCCGGATGCCCAGATTATTTGGGGAGCAGAGGCAAGATAGTATGTGACTTGGTGTCATCCTTGTTTCAAAAGGGGTACCACTTGTATGTGGACAACTACTATGCAAGTGTGCTACTTTTTAGACACTTATAAGATCTTGTAAACATCCGACTTAGAAAAAGGGAAAAAGTCTGCTTGCAGACAGGTGAATTACTCGCAGTGGAGAGGAAGGGATGTTTTAGTCTTGTCTTCCATTCACACAGACATGATGGCCCAAATTTCCATGTCATCTGGTGTTGAGAAGCCTTTCTGTGTCCATGACTATAGCCTTAATATGGGAGGGGTGGACTTCAATGACCAAATGATGATCCATACTTAGGGCACAATTCACTAAGCAGTATCTTACCGCATCTGAGCATGTGGTAAGATACCGCACAGCTTTTTTTTTTTTTTTTTTTAAAGTTTGCAATTACTAAAAAATGCTACTAAAACATTGCAGTAGTTATTTTATCAAGTCATGCAGTATTGTAGTAGTGAAAACCATGTATTTAATGTTTCCGCTGCCAGTGTGCTTCCCCACTGACAGCTGAATGTAAAAAAAAAAAATTGCAGGCAATGAAAACATAGCAAGCCCTTCGGGTCTGGTATGGCTTTTGAGGGGAATCCCCATGCCATTTTTTTTAATGGTGTGGGGTCCCGCCCAAAATCCATACCAGACCCTTACCTGACCATGAAGAATGGCAGGTCAGGAAAGGGGAAAGGG